TATTAATAATTGCTTTCTTCCGATGTACAACCATCAAATATATAGTTATGGGGAAAATGGGCCTTCTGTACAATTTAGAAATTTGCTTTTGATAAAAACAGGAATTGAAACTAGTTGAGCAAGGCATGTTAGCCTTAATCTTAATTTTCAGGTGTTTTATATGAGAATCCTAGTGATATGAACCCCCAAAATTGCAATATTAAAAAAGTAATAAGTAATAACAAAATTACCTGTTTGCATACAGGTAATCCTTGACCTATGAGCACAGTTGAGCCCAAAATTTCCACTGCTATGCAAGACAATTGTTAGGTGAGTTTTGCCACGTTTTATGACATTTCTTACCACAGTTGTAAAGTGAAACACTGCAGTTGTTAACTTGGTAACACAGTTGTTAATTGAATCTGGCTTCCTCATAAACTTTGCTTATCAGAAGGTTGCAAAAGATTATCATATAATCCCAGGTCACTGCAATCATCATAAATACATGCCAAATGCCAAGCAGCCAAATTTTGATCACATGACTGTAGGGTCATAAGTATGGTCATAGGTGTGAAAAATGGTCATAAATCATTTTTTTCAGTAACAGATAACAGATAATCAGAGTTGGAAGGGACCTTGTAGGTCATCTAGTTCAACCCCCTGCCCAAGCGGGAGACCCTATGCCATTTCTGACAGATGGCAGTCCAATTTCTTCTTGAAAGTCTCAAGTGATGGTGCTCCCACAACTTCCGAGGACAAGTTGTTCCATTGGTTGATTGTTCTCACTGTTAGAAAGTTTCTCCTTATTTCCAGGTTAAATCTCTCCTTGTTCAGTTTCCATCCATTATTCCTTGTCTGGCCTACAGGCCATTGTAACTTTGAACAGTCACTTTGCTAATCTGAATCTCACTCTGAGAAACTTATTAAATATATATGCCACCTGACTCCCATTAACCCAGTGCAGTTCATCAGTTGTTAAAAACATCTAAAATTAAGAATGCAACCCCCTCCCTGCAAAAACAACAACATGAAATAAAAGGAACAAAGATGGCAGAGAAAACACACACTCGGGTAGAAAGATGAAAATGAAGAAAGGGGCATCAATCATTCTTGCCAAAGGCCTGTGGTGAAATCCATGACTTCAGCGCCTTTTGTAGTACCAATTGCTCAGTGAAAATGGCAGCATAACTAAGAAAACATTTCTTGGTCTTTTCCTACAATATCTGTTTCATTAGGCAGTTGCAAAGAATAGCTTTGAGATAACTATAGTTTGAGGTTAACTGAGACGTAGTCAGCGTGTGTTAACTTTAAATGAGATCAAAATTTCCAGAAACAAATGAACTGTGAATGCATCCTAGGATACAAATGAAATTTACTGATGGTTTGATTATACATTATCACTGAGAAATCCCCACCACCCCCCAAAAATTAATGTGTCAGACAATCCAAGGAGAACAAATACTGTTCCTACCTTCCAAAACAAACAATAAACAGAAAAAGAAAGATTTAAAATTATATAGACCAAAAGCTATTATAAAAGTTACTACATGATGAAAATGAAAAAAAAATAACAAAACACTAGGAATGTTAAAAAAGGAACAAATTAAAAAAAACAGAAATAAAAAAAATTAAATAGATATAATTGGAAATAGAAAAGATCAAAACTGTCAAATTTCAAAATCATATTTTCATCTATTATATAATGTCAGGTTCTTAATTTTATACTAACACAAATTGTTACCATTCAGTTTTGAAACAGTGAATTGAACTTAGACTATAAGGAATATTATCTACTTTTGCCTCTTATTCAGTATAAAGCCAGTTCAAAGGCTGAGAAATGACTATTTTTAATAAGCCAACTTTTAATGTCAGTTACATAAATATCCAGGAATATGTAATTGTCTTCTTCAGAAAAATCCAAAGACAATATATAGCCAAACTTCTATATAAATTGAAACACTCTAAATATTGAGGACTATAGTTTAAAAGCACTTGGACCCTTAACTTCCATCCAAGAACCTGATTAAGCATTATAATAATGTCTAACCAATAAGGAATCAGTACTAGTCATGTCCATAGCTTCTGCAATAAGGTACTTTTGAACTGTAACATATCCAGTTTAAAAAGAATAATCTTTTAAAAACATTATTTGAAAATCCAATATACCTATATATTATATAAGTATATATTTAAAATACACAGCTATATTTGAACTCATATGAAGTATATCTAACATTCCTTACAACCTGGAACCATTGACTGAGCAAAGATGGTATTCCAATGTTATTTTCCAAATTTATTATATACTAATTAAATTTAGTTCTGTAAAAATGTATGATAGTTACAAACTGCTAATGTAGTTAGCAGCTTTTTCCACTTAATACCTCTAAGAGTTGGACAGACTGCAAGCACACTTGGGCCAAACAATGAGATAATATGTTTATTGTCATTTAATAATTTTAGATATGTTTATATACAGTTCTAACACTTCTAAAAGCACTGCAACAGGAAAGTAATTTTTGGTGACCTCTCACTCACTGTATCACTACACTGAATAGATCACAGATTCCATGGTCATTGGGGTTTCTCCCAATGATTATAATAATTTTGGTGGTAATAACAGCAATAGTGATTATAGTAAGAAAGGTGATGAAGAATGGTTATAATTAGAAACAAAACCTCATCCAATTAGTTTCTATTTTCCCCATAGCTCTCTATTATTTTGGAAATACAATCCCAACATATTTCTGTATGTGAAATATAACTTCCAATCCCCTTAAAGTTTATAAATCATAGTGGTTGACAAAATACATTAGACCAAAACAAAAGAAAAAACACACACGAGGCAGCTTAACATGATCTGTAAACCCACATTATATACTGTATGTACTTATCTTTCCCAGCTGTTGAAGGATGGATATATAACACTTTTCTCCCTGGTCATACTGTACTCCATGAATGTTGTGGAAGAATTATGATTTACAACTACTATGCTATAGTAAAATGTTTAAATCTTTAAGATCTAGCTGAAATGTTAACAGTGGTTGGAGACTATTATGAGATTACTTCAGAGCTATAGTCATCATTGGAAGGATAATTGTTTCTAGTGCACTAATGAAGCCATTGTAAGGGGACAGATCAGGAAGGCATAGAAAATGGAAATTCTGAATCTTGTGCTAATAATGAATTACTTGTGGCTAGGTTGTGGCTAGGTTTTTGTTTTTGTTTTCCTTTTGGTTTACTGTTGATTTACTCTTATATGCATGATACAGTAGTACAATGACTGCTGGAATGGAGATACATATTATACATACATACATGTACTATGTTTGACTAAAATGTTGATGAATTTTATTATTGAGGAGTCCTTGGTGCTCTCTGAGTTTCGTTGTTTACTTGGAATTTTATTATTTGTTACTAAATTTTATTTAGTCTATAATAGTTACAACATTCATAAGTTTGGTATTATTTTTATTCTCTGTTAAATGTGAAATATTTAAGATATTTTAGGCTAACTGAACAATATTCAATGCTTTTATCTTCTCTTTTAGAGGAAAAACAGTATAAAATAGATAAATCAATGGATGAATGAATAAAGTAGAATTTCCTCAATGGGTTTTTTTTTAATGTTCAAGATGCACTTTTTTTAGTTTGATCAGAAGTTATTTTAAGAGGAAAGAGAAATGGGATGGACCATGGAAATTTAGTTAAAATTCAGGAGATAGTGATTGCTTTTTCATCTTGATAGGACTAGATTTCTTTTGCTTTGATTCTAGATTCTCATGAGTAAATATAGTAACAAACTTACCTAATTCCTTGACTCCAACAGATTTTGAATGTAACTGTTATGTTTTGGAGGAATCAGGAAAAAAGCTGATAAACTAAAAAACGATAAAAGCTTTCTCAATGCTATTATCTGTCAGACTTTTTTTTTGATATTTTTGCAACTGATTATTTTTACTTCAGTTCATCTTTCTCATCCTTTTAAATTTCTTTTAACTTTTGTCAACAGGAAAAGTAAAAATAAAGATCCATGTTTATTTTGTTATATTTCAATTATATTCCAGTTTGGAGCATTATTCTACAAAGTCTACTTCCTTATATTTTCATTACTTGTTAAAATCATTGCAAAATAAATGTAAAGGATGTCCAATTTACACATTGTACTCAACGTAACACATCTTGCATCTGGTTTAGCATGCTATGTGAATTCAACTGGTTTTTAAACCATGGTGAAAACCCACCCACTCTGGTATACACAATAAACCACTTTCAAACCAACCATGGATTACTGCAATTATGGATTCAGCCACTGTTGTTTTATAATAATGTGTATGCTTGCAATCTGCACAAGGACCAAATGTTCTGCTATTATTACCTTGTTCTGAGTCAAGCAGTATGATCCATTAGCAAATAGAATATGAGTTCACAGAAGGATACAATTGAAATGTAGGATTATGAGAAGAGTGGTGAAAGGGACAGTTCAGTCACAAGGAGAACAAAATGATTTGGAATCTAAATTTGCTTATTATAGCATTCCAACTAAATCCATAAAATTACCAATAATCTGAACCCTATACTGACCATGAGAATGTGATATGGTGTGCAGGTTTTTTAAGATAAAAACAAGTTGAAATCCAGCTATTTCAAGCTGTCTGCAGACCTAGCTGACAAGTTCAGATTTAGTTAAAAGTTTTTAACGCTTTTTTGACATCTTTTTTGACTGATACGTGATTTAGTCAAGACCTAGATGATTCTGCTACCTGACTAATAATAGTGCATACAAATTAAGTAACCCTTGAAGCTAGTTTAAAGCTAAATCCCTTGAACTCATCACTTATTTACAGATAAAAAAGTACCACACCAATCCATGTGAGTTAAACAATCATGCTAATCCAATTAAATGCAGTTGCTTTTGAATGTCATTGATTTTATCCAATAACATACTACCGACTAAATTTGCTACTGCTGACTTCTGAGTAACTGCCCATGGAGTAAGCTGCTACCGAAATCACACTTACCTTTATTTAACACCTCTGAATTGAGCCCAGGTTTCTTTCATTAATTATATTGGCATACAAGCCGATTGCCACTTTCTTTAACGGTACTGCATCTTGATTGCTTGAGCGTACGGGGCGAGGGGCGTGGCTTTCTCCTCGTCGATGATTGGCTTGCGAATTAGAGTCGTGAACTGGCCGTGTTGCATGTCGGGAACACATTTTTGTAGCTTAGAGACCACGGAAAATAAACAAGAGAGCGTCAGGCCTGTTTGCGGCGTTTGTACGATGACTGGAACTGTGTACGGTGCCCGAAACCCCGCCGTTGCCGGCTGCGATAAAGGCGATTACGATGAACAAATCCGACGTATTCAGGCACATCTTCGGGATAGGTGAGGTCATTGCGCGTGCGGTTTTTTTTGTTTTTGTTTAAATCTAAGTCGGAAAAAAACATGGTTAAAACTTCCGACCTAACCGTTTCTTCCTCTTTCCCGGGACTCACTTGGTATATAGTGGGGAATTGCCCGGTGGCTCTCAAGGCGGGGCTTCCTTTCCATACCGCTGAGCAACGGGGCAGGTAGAAGCTTCTATTATGAAAGTTGTTCAAATTTAAACGGGGCCGGGGTAGAGAGAGTTAAACCGTTAAAACGAAATACCTTCTCCTGGTATTTGAAATACTTCCACGCACCAGTTCTGTCCAATATGTATTATTATTATTATTATTATTATTATTATTATTATTATTATTATTA